GCCCCCCCCCCCCCCCAATGCTCTCTCCTCTCTCCCCCTCTCTTTTCAGTTCAAGTCTCCTTCCATCGCCAGAGTGAACTTCACTTTCAAATTCATATGATTTAAGTGTTCGCGCCTATTTATTATAATGGAATCAAGGAGTTGTTGTGTTCGTAATTTTTTTTTTTCGGTATTTGGTTTGAAGATGGCAAGTTCTTTAACGAGGATTTGAATTAAGAGAGTGCTTCCTCAATTTGAATCTCATATTCGTTGGTTTGAATGTTCTCTGGTCAAGCTTCTTCATCTTCTCATGCATTTTTTGCATTTTAATCAATATATAGACGAGAATGGGACGTCTTGTTTAGCCAAGTCGAGTTATCTCCATAACATGTTTATACATTGTGTCATTTGGCCTTCTTTTGCTGGAAGAAAACTTCTGCCTGTTTTTCTGATCAAGCCAAGAAAAGTTGGCTTATCTCCTGGAAAATGTTGAGAGACTGCCGAAATGTGGGAAAAACTTGATAGATGCTTCATTTTGACCTCAAACTCTCTTGGTTTGTCCTTCCTCCAAACCAAAACTGATCCATGTTAAGCTGTTATCATTAAGTTACGCAAAGATGGTTCAGTTAAAGAAGGGTATGCCTCAATCCAACCATCAATTTTTAGACGTAGGGTCTTTTGATTTTGGTTTCTGAATGGAAAATGATGTCTTGTCAATGAATTTTATGTGTAGAAGAAATAGCCTTGATTATAAGAATATTGGTGTAATGCCATTAAATAAGGAAATTAGTTAGCCAACTTTTATATTTTTCTGAATTGTTACCTATTCTCTAGAAAATTAGTTAGTTTTTCTCTATTATAAAAGGTCTATGTACTTCACTAACGTAGATGAGAAAATAAGAGGAAGATGTCTTAACTTGCAGCATGGTATCAAAGTATTTAATTTCTCAAAAATCTGATTAGAACCAAATCCTACCTCAATCGATAAAATCTTCATAGTTGTAAATCCTATGACCAAATTTCATTCGGAGCTTTCATAATTGTTGTAACCGTGACCAAGCAAATCATGAAGAAAGAAAAAGGGAAAAAAAACTAACTCTACAAATCATAACAGCAAGTCACCTTGTTTTTTTCCCCCCTATCGTCACCTTTTCATCACTTTCGTGCCTCCCACCTAGGTTACAAGCTAGCCACACATAGCGCCAGCTTGTTCACCGCATCCAGCCCAAATAGGAAGGCCCTTGTCAATCCAGCCCAGCAAAGAAGACCCAGCAAGATTTTTTGCAGTGGAGGATCCTGCCCCTTGTTCACCGCATCCAGCCTAGCAAGGATTTTGGATCCGCAGCCCCAGCAAGCTTTATCCAATGTTTTTGTTCAGTTGAGGGTCTGCAGGTTCTCAAATCCAGAGCCCACAAGGATCCCACGAGTTTCCGTTTTTCTAGTCTGTTCACCGCTAGGATTTGGATCCAGCCCACTAAGAGCTCCCATCAACCCACACTTGGATAAAGCTTTGTTTGCTTTGCTCCTAAAGAGCTTCCAGGCCAGTTTCATCTCTCTGCCTAAAACTCCATGTCCAAAGAATCACATCATCAGCAGAGGAAGATCCTACAACCCAGAAGAAAGGTGACCTTTAACCCATCTGATTATCATACCGACTCAACAAAAATAAAAAAAAATAAATAAAAAACAAACTTCCTCAAATAGTCTCAAATTGTGCAGACGTACCATAAGGAAAAGAGAAAACTTCGACATCTCATTGGACAGGATCAAGACCAGCGAAGACGAATCCAGAATTTACTACATAGGACGAGGAAGACTCCATGATAAAGTCATGGCTCTATGATTCTCTAGAACCATCCATCAGTGGTACATATATGTTTTTACAGACAAGTCATATTGGATTTCATTCATTGCACAAAACCAAAGCTCGAGATGCTACTCACATCTATGAAATCAAGATCATGACTGGAGCCATGACGCAAGAGACAAAACTATCACAGAATATACCAATATCTTGCAAACATTATGGCAGAAACTCGATTATTATTGGGTATTCAAGATGAATTGCACTACAAATGTCATAATCCTAAACAAATTTGTTGAAGCAAATAGTGTCTAGGATTTTTAGGAAGTCTCAATAACGAGTTTGGCCAATCATCGGATAAGAGGAAACATGATCCCTAGAAGAAACAGTTTCCTTTATTCAAACAAAAGAGAGCCAATGGAGATTTATGTTTGACAAGCAACCCCAGTTTAAATGCATCGGTCTTTCTTATAGAGAGAAAGAAACCATGGAAGAAACAACCAAAGAAAGAATAACAAAGACAACTTATGGTGTACTCCCCGTGAGAAACCACGACATATGAAGGCGAGTTAAAAGTTGAATGGAAAGCCTCCCAACCGTGTGAAATCAAGGAGGCCCGCATCGTGGTTGGGAAAACAAGGGAGAGATGCTAAAGCATGAGCTTACAACACAATGGAGTCCAACTTAGAACGTAAGCCACCAATTGTGGATAATAGTGGTTTGATAATGAAGAAATTGAGAGATTGAAGATGTTCTTAGACTCTCTCAACAAGTCAGGTTAACTCTTGGATTATATACTCCGATGCAACTGATCACATGACCTCTTGCTCACAATGTTTAAAAACGTACAAAACCATATTTGAGTAATCGAAAAATTACAGTGTCAAATGGAACCAGTGCCACCGTTGCAGGAATAAGCAACATATTCCTCTTTCAAACTCTTACACTAAAACACGTCCTACATGTTTCAAAACTATCTAACAGTTTCATTTCCATACAAAAGCTTACTCATGACTACACTGTAGTGTTATGTTCTCCTCATCGTGTTGTGTTTTCAGGACCAGGTCTTGTGATGAACGATTGAACTTGCTAAGGAATTGAATGGCCTATACTACTTGCAATTACTTGAGAGAACAATAAGTCGTGCACCTAATTTAGTTCGTACAATATAGCCATCAAGTTTCAATGCCTTGACAATCTCAAGTAAGTCTTTATTCACTTTTTCAATAAATCCTTTAGAGATAAGACATGCTAACTCTTCGACTATGTACTCCAGTGCAACTGATTCCATGACCTCTTACTCACAATGTTCTAAAATCTATAAACCATGTCTGAGTAATCGAAAAATTACAGTAGCAAATGGAATCAGTGCCACCATTGCAGGAATAAGTGACGTATTCATCTTTCAAATCCTTACACTAAAACACGTCCTACATGTTCCAAAACTATCTGACAGTCTCATTTCCATACCAAAGCTTACCCATGACTACCACTGTAGTATTATTTTCGCCTCGTCGTGTTGTGATTTCAGGATTTGGTCTTGCGATGGACGATTCAACTTGTTAGGGAATTGAATGGCCTGTACTACTTGCAATTACTTGAGAGAACAATAAGTCGTGCACCCGAATTAGTTCGTGCAATAAAGTCATCAAGTTCCAGTTCCTTGACAATCTCAGATAACTCTTCATTCACCTTTTGGATAAACCTTTTAGAGATAAGTCAGGCTAACTCTTGGATTACATATGCCGGTGCAACTGATCACATGACCTCTCACTCATAATGTTTTAAAACGTATAAACCATGCCTATGAAATCGAAAAATTACAATGGAAAATGGTACCCATGCCATCATTGTAGGAATAAGCAACATATTCATCTTTCAAACACTCACACTGAAGCCTATGACTGCAATTGTAGTGTTATTTTCTCCTCTTCATGTTGTGTTTTCAGGACCAGGTATTGTGATGGACGATTGAACTTGCCAAGGAACTGAATGGCCTATACTACTTGCGAGTACTTGAGAGAACAATAAGTCATGCACCTGTGTCAATTCTTAGTTCATGCAATAAAGATGTGATTTAGTTGCATCATTTTCGCATGGATCGTCCCTCATTTAGAGTCTTGAAAATTATGTTTTCAAATTTGTTTCAAGGATTTCAAGTTTCTGATTTTCATTGTGATACATGTGAATTTGTCAAACATACACATGTATCTTTTCACATTGGTCAAAATAAAAATTCTACTCCTTTTCATTTGATTCATAGTGATATATGGAGATCCTCAACTGTTTCAAATATTTCCAATGCTTGTTAGTTTCTCATGTTAATTGACGATTGATTAATCAGGTGAGTGACCGAGAGGAAAAATGGACACCTTTTAAACACTATCTGAGTCTTACTTCTTCACGGAAACATGTCAAAGACTAACAGGGAAGAGGTAAGTCCTTGCTACAACTCACATGATTAATCGTCTCCTACGTCACCTGAATAATCTACGTTCAATAGAAGTCCTCGACTCGCTTCATCCTCACTTTTGAACATTAAATAGCCTCCCAACCAGCATATTTGGGCAAATCTTTGTTCATGTACACAAAACTCAAATACATAACACTCAAAGAGGCAAACTCGATTCGAGAGAAATAAAATGTGTCTTTTTAAGGTATTCTTCAACCACAAATGGGTACAAATGTTACAACCCTACCGCTAGAAAGTCTTACACCTCAATTGATGTTCACCGAGCATAATTTGTTCTTCTCTAAGGCCTTCATTCAGGAGGAGAATGTAGTGATCGAGAGAAATAAAATGTGTCTTTTTAAGGTATTCTTCAACCACAAACGGGTACAAATGTTACAACCCTACCGCTAGAAAGTCTTACACCTCAATTGATGTTCACCAAGCATAATTTGTTCTTCTCTAAGGCCTTCATTCAGGAGGAGAATGTAGTGATTTAAGAGAGACCATGGGAAATAGTTGAACCGCTGGACACACTAAATAACTAGCACATAGGATCAATTATTGAGTTCACTTCTACTACCAATCCCAATCATGAGTCCACACCTACTATTGGTTCCAATCATGAGTCCACAACTACAACTGGTTCCAATCACGGGCCCACTCCTACTGTCGTAATGTCATCAATTGAACCATCAATTCAACCTCCACTGTCAGATCCATTGTTCTCTCAGGTATACGCTAGAAAGAAAGCCATTTCAGAAATGATACAAGTCCAAACATCCGACTCGACTCAAAATGAAGATGCAAAATAGGTACGAATAGATGATAAACTTCTAACTCTCTAAAAACCCACTAGAGAATGCACAAAACAACCCTTCCTTATACCGTTTACCATTGTTAGTCTAAATTCAATTATTATACCTAACACAGTTTACGAAGATTTATTTAAAAGAAAATGGCACGATGCTATGAAAGAAGAAATGTATGCTCTAGATAAGAATACCACGTGGGAATACGCAAATATTTCTTAAATTAAGGATAGGAATTACTCAAATATTCCTTCAATTAAGATCATTCCTTCAATGGTACTTTTTCAGCATTGAAGTAACGTACTCACCTCAAGACATTTTCTTATCATAAAAGAAATATTTAATGGATTTGTTGATGGAAACATGGACAAGCAGATGTAAACTTGCAACAATGCCAATGGATTCACATCAAACCTTGGGAGAGTCAAAAGAATAACCTACTGTGAACAAAGAGATGTATCATAGACTAGTGAGGAGGCTTATCTATCTAACTAACATTCGACCAGACATAGCATACTCAATAAATGTAATTAGCTAATTTATGCATGATCCACAGGAACACCTTCAATAAACCTATAAGGTGTTACATTTCCTGAAAGGAACTTCAAGAAAAGGAATTTTGTTCAAACGGAATAATTTCCTTGTAATGGAAGCTTTCATCAACATTGACTATGCTAGACCAATAGTGGACCGAAGATCTAATAAGGGTATTGTACTTTTATCAGAGGTAATGTGGTAACATGGAGGAGCAAAAAGCAAAAAGTGGTAGCTTGATCATTTGATGAATCAAAGCTTGGAGCTATTGCACAAACGTTGTGTAAGCTCTTTGATTGAAGATAATCCTTAATAACTTACCGATTAAGAGAGAAGACCTGATAAACTTGTGCTGCGACAACAAATCAGTCATCAATATTGTTCATAATCCTATCGAACATGATAGGACAAAGTAGGTAAACATCAATCCACATTTTATTAAGGAGAAGCTGGGATAGTATGCATGAGGTCTGTGCCCTTATGGCTTCAACAAAAAGATGTGCTAACAAAAGAACTTCACCGGATAATGTTTCATGATATAGTATCTAAGAATGGAGGATATTTCTTCCCTGGGGGGTGCTGAAGAAATAGCCTTATAATGTCATTAAATAAGGTTATTTGTTAATCAACTTTTCTATATTTTTTATTGTTACCTATTCTCTAGAGAAGTAGTTAGTTCTCTATTTTAAAAGGTTTATGCACTTCACTAATGTAGATGAGAAATACGAGCAAGATACCTTATTGCAACAATAAGCTCTTGGTAGTTTCAAAGATTCTTTTTGCTCACAATTCATGGAAGGACATGTGTAGCACTTAAAAGAATCATTTTCATACTAATTTCTCCATCGACCCTTGATGCATGATAAGGCGTATTGGACATGGATGAACGGCTTTTTACATAAATCTATAATGAAAAATGGAGATTTATACGTAATTTTTATTTGAAGACCAAATTTTGTCTAGAGAAAAGCATTCTCACCCTAAATTAATTACCAGCTAGGTGGTTGAATTTTTTGGAGTACTGAAGTAGCATTTATATCATAATCCCTCATAAAATAAAGCTGTGACAGTACCACCACAGCTTTATTAGTGAATTACCCATATATCTAGAACGAAGAAACCTAGTGCAGGTACAATTAGAACAAATGATATATGGCTTATATGAAATGAGGCAGATACCACGTACACTTGTAGTGTTATATTGAGTAACTAAAAAACTACCTGTTTCTCCAAATATTCCAGATCACTTTCTTCTGAGGGAACATGCTCTAATATATGCCTAACCGGATCAAAGTCCTGCAGTAAGAATTAAGAACTAAGAATTAATTCAACACTCTTTACCGCCCGTTAAAATATAGGCGGCACAAGTAGACGAAAGAATCTTACAAAGCTCCAAGTGCAAATCAGAATGCAGCAAAAGATAGAAAGTCAAAGAATAATATATATTTAAATTTTCACTCATGTAAAAACAAGAGAATTTCACAATTAAATTACAAGTTTAGTCCTTGAACTTTGAGGTTCGGTTCTAATGTGTCCATAAACTTCCAACTATGTGTCTAATAGGTCTGTTGGACATTTTGATCTATTAGATATAAATTTAAATTTTATGTCCAATAACATTCTAAGCTTTTTTATATCGGGTTTAAAGAGCTATGAATTTTTAAAAATGATACAGACCTACTGACACAAAATGAAATTTCAGTCACAATGGATATAAAAAAAGATAAAGAACACAAAATTGTACGTATAGGGTCCCATTTGACAAATTTTGAGTTCAAGTCCCTATTGACAGAATTGAAATTACAAGGACCTATTAGACATTTTCAGAAATATCTTAAAGTTCATGGACTAATTTATAATTTAATATAAAATATGTAGGGTGAATTAATAAGAGGCTTTAGGATTTTAAAAATGTAACACGGTATTTACGAGTATCGTGCCTGCAAATGAATGATCCAAGTAAATGATAGTAACAATAGCAAGTAGCACCTCTTCATAGAAAACATCCTCTAGGTCCTCTACTTCTTGACCATGAATTCTACTGCCATATATTGAGCTCAGTTCTTCCGAGCTAGATGAGAGACCAAATCTCTGGTGAGGAGGCAATACTGCAAGTGCACGAGCAACAGCTGCCGCAGCCACAGCACGTGCCGGAACCTGTCAATAAGGTGACAAACAAATGATTGAACTCCCAGCCAATCATTTCTTTCAGACGAACAAAAATGCAAAAAGATATTTGCTTCTCTTTTAATGAGAAACACACCAAAAGCAAGGAGGAAATAGGATTTAACAAAATAAATTTGAAGCCAAGACTTTTATGCTGCCATTGACTGATTGAACAACTGCTTTTAACCTAACCTCATCAAATAGTATGGGAAAGAAAATTCTTATTACCCAAAAGGCGAATTAATAACCAGATTCTTACATGAAAGGCTCCAAACTCTTTACCTACTTCATAAATGCAATGCCTTGAAGACCTTTCATCTTCCCAAAATTTTCTACATTCTTTCAAAATCCAAGCTTCCTTATCAGCCAACCGAGTATGCATTTGAAGCTTCTAATGTGGCAAGATTTCATATACTTCAAGCTCACGTTTATTTAGAAAAGAGGAGAATTTCACTTTTCCAAATAAAACCTTTTTTTAGTGAGGCATACAAAAATAAAGCTCACAAAAAGGAGCTAACCTGCTCAAAAGGGATCTAATCAAGTACAATAAGACTAAGAGTGTAATTACAAAAAGGTTTTAACACTAAAGCCCAAAGAGAATATAGAATATGACCAAAGACCGAACATCACCTGAAGGCCTCTCCCGACCCCTAACGATTCTACAATTTCTCTTGCTCTTAAAAACTCCACAAAATAGCACACACCCCAAACTACCACAAAAAAAAAAAAAAAAAAAAAAAAAAAAAAAAAAAAAAAAAAAAAAAAAAGACCTTTCTCGCAAAAANATGGAGAAGGAGATCATCAATCATCTCTCTGCAACTCTGAAAGCTAGTAAAACAAAAACCGAACACCTCATCAAAGCGACTCCAACCTAGTAAAAAGTAGTAAGAGCCAACAAAGCATTGTATTCTTATTCTCTGTCTCCAGAAAACCTTTGGTACCCTCCATCCGCATAGATCAAATGCATCCATAAGTGTGCCTTCCGCTTCTTAAGCAGAGAATGTATATTCTCAAGATTCCTCATTCTTTTTACATAAAACGCACCGTTGAAGGTATAAGATCAGGAAAACATGTTGGCTTATTGGCCCTTGATCTCACATTAATTAATTTCAATGAATTAATTATTGATGTTTTGATGATAACAAACCTACTTTTAATTATTAACTATTTTCAGTTTTTTGAATTGTCCACAGTATAAGGTCGGGAATAACGATTACAACAACTTTTCAATTACTCAAATCAGAGCTAAAACGAAGAAATTAGAGTCGAGACAACATACCCGACGTGATGATGTGGCAACAAAATCAAAATGATGGACAAATCAAAATATATCAAAGTATGACATTTATAATATTGGAAGAGTAACACATGGTGGAGTTTTTCTTATTATTACATTTCTAAATAAAATTATTTTTACAAATATAAATTTGAATATAACCGTTACTCACATCGAATTTTATTATTACTATATTATATTATTATATTATTATATTTTAAAATTTTGGTAGTTACTCACATCATTTTTATTATTATTATATTATTATATTTATAATAAATTTTGAATTACATTTTACCGTTACTCACATAACTTTTTATTATTATTATATTATATTACTATTATATTAAAATTTTGAAATAAATGAATTTAGAAAATT